GAAAACCGTAGGCAAAAAAAAAAAAAAAAAGAGAAAAAGAAAAACTGATTAAGTCCATTTTTATTGATTTTGAAATTGAAGTCGTGATCTATAAGAGAGAGTTGCAGAATGTTTTTGCAGAGGGAGCGCTGCTGCCAATTTTTATTTCAATATTATATTATTACTTTATTTGTTATGTTATTTTAATATTGTCATGATGATTCTCTCGTTACTTGAGACAATGGCGTGAGTTATTACTGAACATAGCATATTGAATACCGAACATCATTTTATTGAACATTGTAAAAGGGGGTCACAACTGAAAAAAAGAAAATACAAGGAAATAAAGTCCAATTTTAAAACTACTTTCTTGTAAAAATTAGAAAACGTGACTTACCAAGTTTTTCTCCTCCGGTCTTTAGAGATGTATTGTTTCTTCTTAGTTATAAAGGTTCATGAAGATTAAGATTAGATCCTTTATTTATTTTTCATTTTTTCTTTATCCTTTCGTCGTATCAATTTAAAAAAATAAGTATCTTACATATTTCATGATGTTTTAAATTCAATGTATTCGTATATCAACTTGAAGGACTCATTTGTCTTAGATAACCTGTTATTTAGTCAAGTGATTAGTAATCGGTTTGAATCAATTATGAAATAATTAAACTAACAATTATTTATTGATTAAATGGATTAAAATTGTCACCAGATCCACTCCATTTATTTTTTTTTTTTAATGAACGATCTAAGAAAGTTGTTTTTTTTCCTTCTCTATTCAAATGTAGAAGAACCTCGTGTGTTACAGACTATTAATTTTCACTTTCCATTTTTAATTTTTACTTAAGATCGAATGATCTGCAATTCAAATAATTCTCAATTAGTATCGTTATCGTGAAATATTTTAACAAAAAATTGCAAAAATAAACTTTTTTAATGTTGAATGATTACGATTTGAACTCTCTCCAAAATAAATAAGACTGAAACTTTTTGAAGAACAAAGACTTATGATGTTGGCCAGTGTAAATTATTCGATAGTCAAATATACACATTGTGTATACATATATTTACTTATTGTTAAATGTTTCTGGCTTGAACGATGCCCAACCATAGAGAACTGGTAGGTAAAATAGTCTCTCGTTACCACTATACGTGTGCGTGTGCGAACGCATCATTAGCAAGACTATCATTAGACAACAAGGCCGTGAGCAGGGCCGTCATTGCTGAGAAACGGCCACTGCTTTTAATATTGTTGGCGTTTTCCGTTTCTATTCTTTTTTTTATATACTAAGTATATATACTAAAGTTTATATGTGAAAATATTGGATATTTATTATTTCAATTATTATCAATTGTTATCAAGATTTTTTAATCTAAATGTCTTCACTTCTACATAGATATATACATAAAAAGCTATTGTATTTGATAAAATAAAAATTTTGATAATTTATTTAACATATAAACTTTTTATATCACTAAGGTTTATAATATATATTGAAATTTTGAAAAAGATAGTTATTAGATTTTTTTTATTTTTCAATGTATAATGTTTGTTATATATATAAAAATTGTATGAAAATTTATTTCCAATTTGATACACGATAATTTTTAGAATGAAAATTTTTTAATCTTATTTATATTTAAATATTTGATTCTATGTATCTTAAAATTTTTAAAATTTTTTACCGTATTTTTCTTTAAAAGATAGAACTGAATTAAAAATCAATTTTCAATTTATATCTATGAAAAGACTAAGAAGAAAAAAAAAATTATAAAATAAAATATATTCATCAAAATTTGTATGCATGATCGATATTTCATCTTCTTAGAATTTCTATTTAATTCGTCTTCTTCGTCGATGAATTCAAAATATTTTCATTATACTGTAAAAAGAAATTTAATGTCACCAAAGATCACATTAATGTGTAATATTATGCAAGTTTTTCAAGGAGTATGTTATAAACATACGTTTTTACATACTTAATATTCTATAAGAAAATAAAATTTCATATTCCAATAAAAAAGTGTTTAAACAGGGAAATGCATTTAAATGGATTCAAGCAAATATTGTATATGCATTTTATACTTGCATCTATATTCTTCTTCTTGAGTCAATCTTTGCACCTTGAATCGATCGTAAAATGGAGAGAATGGATATCTTGTTGGAGGGTTATTCTTGCTTTCCTTCAGAATTTTCAGAGATCGAATGGTTGCTTTGTGGACTGTCTTTCGTTAAGAGGCTGCTGCTTTTCGTCGGTTGTTTGGTCAAGTCCAGCCCATCGATTTCCTTCGGAAATTCTTCCCTTCTTCTCCTCCTTCCACGTCGTCTACGCCTCGAGGAAGATCTTCTTCTTCGCGAGTTTTTTCTACGACGAGATCTACGGCGAGATCTTCCAGCTCTACGTCTTCGTCCTCTTCTTCTTGAACGTCCTCTTCTTCTTCTTCTTCCGTTACAAGGAATCTCGACCGTTGCGTCGCCACCACTTATGCATTGACCGTTGAGGAAGTCTGGATTGTACGTGTAACATCCTCTGAAAAGAAAATATATATTCAACAAATCTATCCTTAAACTTCGTTCTTTAATGTCATCGAGATCTTGCGATGAGTTATAGTGAAAAAGTAATTTGAGATTTAATAATCTCTAGTATCTAGTGGATTTCTTAACTATTTTATGGCATTCAATATATTAATTTTTATCTTTTTCCATGAGATTCGGTAATTTTTTAAATTTAGTAATTAATTTTTAGTATTAATATCTAGTTTTTAGTAATATTGGAAAAAAATCTATTCACGTCATTGTATATTGAATTATTGAAGAGATAAAATGTCGTCAAAGATTTACATTATTGTATAATGTAATAATTATTGAAGAGATAAGTGAAAATTTTATTCAAAATAATTCAATGAATGAAAATTTCATTTATATATGATAATACAATTAATAAAAACTTTACTTATAACTATATAACGAATTAAAATTTATTAATAATATTTTGAATATTTAATAATGCTTATATTATAAAACTTCAATTTTTACAAAGACAAAAGAAAGACTTGCATTATATTAATTGTATATATTTTTTTTTTCAAAAAAATTATTCTCTCTTGATTGAAAAAAAGTACGAGGATCTAGAAGAAATCCTATTGAAAATTTTACAAAACTTTGCTACACGTTTACCCCTTTAAACGTTGAAGAATTCCATAAGTTACGCCTCTCTTGAGAGCGAGTTGGACATGTGGTCTGATTTCAGAACCAGGAATATTATATTCTTGAGCAATGTAATTACTAATTTCCTGGGGAGTTGATCCTTGTATGGCTTGTAATCTGCGGATAGCTTCCACGACTTGTGCTTCGATTCGTTGAGATCTTTTGAATGCCATTCTAGCATCTGGACCTGGAAAAATTAAATTAATTTATCTTTTACATTGAATAAAAAATTATTCGAAATAAAATAATATTTAATTTAAATACACACGTAAAACGATTTTCTTTGGAGAAGCATTTACTTAAAAAATTTTATTCCTTTATATTAAAAATAATTGCGGTTATTTTCAGGCTATATAGTTTAGTAGACAATTTTTGATGAAACTTGTTTAATTTTTTTTTTTCAACATTGAGTTATGATATTTAATTAATTTATTGGTTTTTATGGAAGTCGTATAATTTAATAGCAGAGATAATTTACAGTATAAAATATTATTGCGCCTAATTTTTGTATGCAGTCATTTTTAGTGACTTTTATCGATCACGCGAAATTTCACTTAATGGTAAAATAAACAACCAACCCCTTCCTGTTTCCAAGAGACGATAGTCTTTTACCATATTCTCGCCTTGCATGATTTTATAATTGGCCACGATCGAGTGAAAAAATCAAGGGATTTCGATCTATTTTTCTTTTCGATGTTCGCATATCTCCTCTTCCCCTCTCGAATCTCGTGATTTATCCTTCTCTTTCTTTCTATCGGTCTACCTAAGCAGAAATAAAACAGTACTGAATAGCGCCAGAAGAGTACGACAGACCTTTAAACAGTGACGTCATCGAAGCTGTTTTCTCATGCCTTTGTAAATATAGTACTCTTCCGGCTGTTTGACTTGCAAATTGAGAGTACAATTAGAGAACTGCTCGAAAAATTGCCATTCGAATTATCACCGAGACGTGGTAAAGAATGAAACAAGATAATGTATATATATTGGATGTATATATATTTCATTTCTAAAATGGCATTTTTGTTGAAAAAATTACAAAATATGACATTTTCATGGTCCATGATAATGTATGTAGAAAAAAAATCATCTGTAAAAAAAAAATTGTAATTTTTTATTTAATTATTCAATTTAATTACTTAATTTAATATGACTGAAATAACTATATGTACGTATGTATAATTTAATTATATTTTTTTATATTATTACGTAAATAAAATAATTACAGATTAGTGATCGTGATTAGAGGCATAAATAAATATAGATCATATAATAAATAGTTCATAATAATAATATTTCATATGCAATAAAAAAGAATCTAGTTTCATAGATCAGATTAGACAAAAATTAATTCCAATAATATTCGTATAATTATATTGTATAGATATATGTTCTTTAAATATTTGTGATTGAAATAAGAAAAAGAATAATATATTTGTCAAGTATAAATGAAGATAAAATAAAAATTAAATTTTAATTTTATTTTTCAGAATAAAAATTTAATCGTCAATATGCTCGTTGTTCTTTACAATGATGTCATATTCAACTTATTAAGTTGCCATTTTTACCGACATGTGATAACATTAGCAACTGTAAACAGATACACGTGATGATCATTTCTGCGGGATACAGAATTAAATTTAAAAATTTATAATTTGAATTAAACGTAACAATATATTGTCAAAAAGACATATGTGAATTGCGAACAAAGCTTAGTTAAAATTAAACATAATCTATTCTCGTACAAATATCGTAAATAAATATTTACTTATATCGTGAATAATTTAACAGAAGATGACTAATTTAGAAGAAAGAATACTTTATAGGTTATTAGACAAATTATTAGAGGATATTAAAACATTTATTAAGAATTAATTGATTATTTATATGAAAATGGAAGCTATTAAAAAGAATCTATAAATTGATCAATTTAATTTTCATGAAACCTGTTATATATCCTCATTATCGATAATAATTATGATATTTCATACTTACTTTTTGCCATATATTGTCTTCTGAAATTTCATTTAATGATTTTGAATTTCAGATCTTTTTTTTAAATTAAATTATAATTTTCTAAGATAAAATTTATACTATATTATTTCATCATTATTTTTTTTAATTAAATTAATATTTAAAAATTTATCAATTCATAATTGAGAATCATAATTTTAATATATTTTTCTTTATGATATAGTTAATAATTTACTATCGTTTTCAAACGTTTTTAAGGTTATAAGTAATTGATAGTAATAATTATAATTATAAAAATTTTTTTTTAATATACATATTTTGTTTCTTTGATTACAATATTTCCTGTAGAATTATCTTTTAAATCTAATATGCAAAAAGAAATCTTAATTGTAATAAATAATGTAATAAATAATGATAAGAAGAATCATCTTACATTGTTAGTGAGATCTCCTATAGAGAGCAGCACGAAACAGAGTTAGACTTTACTGGCATCTGGCTCAGATTCATGGAATTTAGTAGCGCCATCGAGAATCTGCCATCGGTAATAATCGATTAAGAAAAGAAAAAATGTTTTACCAGAAAATTAATCTATTACTTACTTTTAATTTGGAGGAATAAATATAAAAATTTATTAATTTCTATAAATCTTTAAAATAAAATTTATGGATAAATTGAAAAAAAATCTAATTTTTCTTGATCTTTAATATTTTTCTACTTCTTTTTCGATAATAATAAGATAACAATAAGATCACTTTTATCAATGAAATCACTCGGAACACTGAATTATCGATATGTATCGAATCGTATCGATTATTCATAGCGCGCTCTATGTACTGAAAAGTTAATTAGTTGAACCGCCATATTGAAATGGAATTTTCAAATTGGTCAGTGATCGCGTAATGTTTTATTGTAATAAGTGATTATTGTTGTAAAAAGTGAGTGCAGAAGCTGAATGTGAGGCCTGGATGACATCGGGGATGATGAAGATGCAATACTTAAGTCCGAGAACGTCTTCTGTAAGTGAAACTTCCAAATTTTATTTGTTTTTATAATGATATTCTAATGGCGTCTCTTGAATCGAGATTCGAAATAAATTCGACACAAAAAAATACGCGATAGACAATTATATATGTAACATAACGTAAAGTTTATCGAGAAACGAACGATTTTTCTTTCGCGTATGCATTTTTTTCGTGAAATAGCACGAAATAAAGAGCCTCGTGAATATACAAGGACATGTACCGGACACGATGCATTCATCCATGTGAGATCTGTATAGGAATTGTTTATTGTTAGCTGAGTAGTTTCTGCATAAATTGATTGTCCAAATGATTCTAAATTGCCTAGGTTTCGTTACAGAAATTGCTGCATTAGCTTTAATATTATAGATATTTAAAATCTTTCACAATATTGAGATGAATTCATAGGATTTTCGTAATATAGCCGCCATCTTGGATGACGTCATTCTCGCGGTGAAAAATAATTTCGATAATAAAATAATGATCGTTAAATATTGAATATTGAAATAATTAGAATAATATTTTTGAGAATAGATTCCATAAAATTATTTCAAATAACTTTATATTTAATAAATTATTTATATTATTTGTTATTTTTATTTATATATATTATTTATATATATACTATATATATTTAGTATATATACTACATAATATACTACATAATAAAAATCAGGAAACAAAAAAATGAACAAAATGAACATCTCCTTTTTTAAAATCATATCGTAAATTATTGGATCAAGATTAAAACGAATATTCAGAGCACGTTGATTGCAAATTCGTGCTACGTGATTGTTATTAATCGGAGAGATGAATTCGACACGGCGTACCAAGTTGAAATACACGTTGGATCGAGCGAAAGTGGTCACATAAATGTCGAGAACAGAGAATACGGCTTAACGAATGTGGAGAGATCGGTGAACCGGAAGCGAAAGGCGCGCAACTTCACGATTCGTTTGGTTCGTGGTATATACGCGTAAGATCATCAGCCTGCTGGCCTTTAATGCATCACGAGAAATCTGGTTCTTAATGTTTCCAATATTTTTCTTCTTCTCTTATCTCTTCAATATTCATTATATTTCTTCGAGTTAAGGAATTTGAAATTATCAAATTTCAATTATTAAAAAATTTTAGAGATATCAATCGCTATATTTAATAGCATGTATATTATATTTCTATAATTCTAAATCTTTGATTTTACATACATCTTGCAAAATCCAGAGTCTAAACTTGGAACTTTTCATTCTAATGATTCAGATTTTCATATTTCTAGCGTTTAAACTCCTTAATTTTAAACTCCAAATCTTAAACTTAGATTTTAAACGGATCTAAAGGATTTAAATCCACACTTGAATATTTCTTTCCATTAAAATTTCCTTTTATTTTCTTCTAAAATGGTATAAGAATCTTTTTTCAACAAAGTTCATAGCAAGTTTACGAAACTGATTATTAAGAGACTGATGACTGGTTGAAAAAATAGGGTTCGTTGAATTTAATCGTTTTTTACGTCAGTGCAGAGGCGACAATCCATGTTTCTTCTAATATTTGCAGAAGATTGTCTGCTATAAATCAGTGTGAAAGGGTGACTCAGATGTAACACTTATGTTAGAAAACTCGATTGAATGAGATGCCTAACGCTTACGCAACGTCGACGACATCGTCATAACGCATTGCAACGGATACGTTTGCGATTCGCAAGGCCGTGTCTCCAGAATTTACTGGTTATTGTATTAACTCCCTGATAAAAAGTTCTATAAATACATCGAACTGTTTATTCTCGAAAGACATCAAATATATCACACTTTCGATATTTCTCAGGTGTTAATATAATAGCAAAAGAATTTTAGATATATTCGGGTTGATTCTAAAATCTTTTCCATTCTCGCGTGATGGAAATTGGGATAAACTAACGGATTAAAATTTCAAATTGGGATAAACAAACGGATTTACATCGAGGATTTTTTTAAATTTTAATTTGAAGATATAATAGAATACGAACGATTGCTTTTTATTTTTGTTTCGCTTTGTAATGTTTCTCTGCAAATATATAGTAATGTTTCACGTTTACGAGTAAGTAATGTAAAATTAAATGGAATACACATAGATTACGCAAGAGTTGTGGCATCTTCACGGTTTTAAAAATTGTTATATCATCGGTATTGTCACTGAACGGTTAAAAGGGAAATAGGAAATTGTTATCGATGTTACTGTTTTCCATTTTTAGTTCTTCTTCCTCCTTCCTCCCCTTTTTTTTTTCCTCCTTTTCAAATTCATTCTTTTAATTTGCATACATATTTCCGAGATTTCTACGTGATATTACTTTTTAAAATTTTAAAAGATTAATTAATTAGATTGTTAGATTGCATACACTTAAGTAGAATAAGATTTTTAAAAAGATGGAATATAAATAAAGATTTGGTTCGAGAAAAAATTCATATGTCGAATGATTAAATTGGAAAAGTAAGATTCAAATTATTAAAGAAGTCATCTTACGATATCATTAATATCATTATAAATTC